ATCCATGTTGTATTCGATTCCTGGTGGAAAAGGCATCAAAGTACAGATGAAATAAACTGCTGGTAGTAATAGAAAAATTCTTGATCAGGTAATCCGTCTGCTCATTTATCTCTTCCATAAAAAGTTAGACAGACAGCTTAAGACTAAAAACCTTTGTCTTCCATTCACTATTTGTCTTATTAAAAATAAAACATTATCGACTTTATAATGCAATAAAATATAAAATTGTTTCCATTTTTCAATTCATTGATTTTTCTTATTTTTTCTTTAAAGAAGCAAAAGGACGGTCTTTGTCGCAAAAAAACACGACTTCGTAAAAACAGACAATCTGTCTGAAAAGATTTTTAAATTTCGAAATAATATTGAATTCGAATGTAGTTTCCAAATAGCCAATTAAAACCGATGTGCAAAACAGACTACCTACGCATAGTCAACGCGAAAATAGAAAATAAATTTTTCTTTTTTTAAATTTAAGAATCTTTATTTGAAACTCCAACACTTTACCACGAACTACATTTAAAGGGCTAAAAATAATTTCCCTTTGATAAATTAAGGTATCTTTTATCCAAACAGATAAAACCAAAGTTGTGTACTATTTGCTCCCATGTTCAAACAATTCTTATTTTTACTAGTAGTCTCAATAGAAAATAAACTTAACATTACCACGTTGTGATAGACTAGATATAATATGGTTAGGTTAGAGATATGTGATAAGGTTGGTTTTTGTCAACTGCCAAATATTACTTTGTAAATTGTATAAGATAAGAAGGAAGGGTTTGTGAGGGGATCATCAAATGTGAAATCAACTTTGCCCGCTCTAGGTGGAGCGAGTGGGAGTGTCAGACTCTTATAGACTAAAAAATAACCTCCCCGTTTCTTCTCCTATTCCGGACCTTTCGCGGTACATTATTGAGCTTGCACCCACAAATATCTCAGATGTTTGAAGTTTTCTTCTAAGCTAATTTTATTTATTTACAACTTTTGCCCGCGACTCCGTTCGCGTGGAATAGTGACTTCCTGCAGATTTTTGGTATTAAAACTATCCTATGTCCTTTCTCGAGTTTCAAACTATATCTGTACCAAATTTCACAGAGTTACTTTCGCATTTGTCATATTAGTTTGGAAGTTTGAATTAAAGACCTTGCAATTTTTGAATGATAACTATCGTGAGGCATACTTAAATTATTGAAAACTACGACTTATTCACGGAAATAAACAGAGAAAAGCACGACTAGTTTCAAGTCACAACGGGACTCTTATTCATGAGCAGCGTGCGCGTCGCGGCATCATCTGTTGGCTGACGCGAGTTGGCTGCGCAACGGCGTTGTGATTTGTTTGAAACTAGTAGAGCTGTTCTCAGTTTGTTCGTTTTCGTTATTTTCAATAAAATAAAGACCTTGAAATAAAATCAAACTGATTTATTTACAACAAAGCCACTATTTTTATATTTGTAGGTTGTTATATTCGTAGCCAATACGTTCGTATGACACTTCCGCATTTGGTCCAACAAGTGTATGCCTTGATTATAATTAGCAAAGCTCCCTTCTCTAACATTTTGACAAAAAAATATCGAGGCGGAATTGTTTTTTTACAACAAGAAAGTACGATACAATTGAATATTGTCTGTCTAAAAATATAATAGGTATATAGTCAGGAAATAAGTCTGGTAATCTAAGCTGCAATATTATAAGACTCACCTAATTACGAAGCTGTTTAGTTTTCTATGTTGTAGCAATAAAATAAAATAGATATAGAAAATGAATGTTCAATTATAATTGAACATTCATTTTCTATATCTAATTTAACAATTCCGCCTCGATATTTTTTTGTCAAAATGTTAGAGAAGGGAGCTTTGCTAATTATAATCAAGGCATACACTTGTTGGACCAAATGCGGAAGTGTCATACGAACGTATTGGCTACGAATATAACAACCTACAAATATAAAAATAGTGGCTTTGTTGTAAATAAATCAGTTTGATTTTATTTCAAGGTCTTTATTTTATTGAAAATAACGAAAACGAACAAACTGAGAACAGCTCTACTAGTTTCAAACAAATCACAACGCCGTTGCGCAGCCAACTCGCGTCAGCCAACAGATGATGCCGCGACGCGCACGCTGCTCATGAATAAGAGTCCCGTTGTGACTTGAAACTAGTCGTGCTTTTCTCTGTTTATTTCCGTGAATAAGTCGTAGTTTTCAATAATTTAAGTATGCCTCACGATAGTTATCATTCAAAAATTGCAAGGTCTTTAATTCAAACTTCCAAACTAATATGACAAATGCGAAAGTAACTCTGTGAAATTTGGTACAGATATAGTTTGAAACTCGAGAAAGGACATAGGATAGTTTTAATACCAAAAATCTGCAGGAAGTCACTATTCCACGCGAACGGAGTCGCGGGCAAAAGTTGTAAATAAATAAAATTAGCTTAGAAGAAAACTTCAAACATCTGAGATATTTGTGGGTGCAAGCTCAATAATGTACCGCGTAAGGTCCGGAATAGGAGAAGAAACGGGGAGGTTATTTTTTAGTCTATAAGAGTCTGACACTCCCACTCGCTCCACCTAGAGCGGGCAAAGTTGATTTCACATTTGATGATCCCCTCACAAACCCTTCCTTCTTATCTTATACAATTTACAAAGTAATATTTGGCAGTTGACAAAAACCAACCTTATCATATCTCTAACCTAACCATATTATATCTAGTCTATCACAACGTGGTAATGTTAAGTTTATTTTCTATTGAGACTACTAGTAAAAATAAGAATTGTTTGAACATGGGAGCAAATAGTACACAACTTTGGTTTTATCTGTTTGGATAAAAGATACCTTAATTTATCAAAAGGAAATTATTTTTAGCCCTTTAAATGTAGTTCGTGGTAAAGTGTTGGAGTTTCAAATAAAGATTCTTAAATTTAAAAAAGAAAAATGTATTTTCTATTTTCGCGTTGACTATGCGTAGGTAGTCTGTTTTGCACATCGGTTTTAATTGGCTATTTGGAAACTACATTCGAATTCAATATTATTTCGAAATTTAAAAATCTTTTCAGACAGATTGTCTGTTTTTACGAAGTCGTGTTTTTTTGCGACAAAGACCGTCCTTTTGCTTCTTTAAAGAAAAAATAAGAAAAATCAATGAATTGAAAAATGGAAACAATTTTATATTTTATTGCATTATAAAGTCGATAATGTTTTATTTTTAATAAGACAAATAGTGAATGGAAGACAAAGGTTTTTAGTCTTAAGCTGTCTGTCTAACTTTTTATGGAAGAGATAAATGAGCAGACGGATTACCTGATCAAGAATTTTTCTATTACTACCAGCAGTTTATTTCATCTGTACTTTGATGCCTTTTCCACCAGGAATCGAATACAACATGGATGTAGGTATTATGAAATCTTACATACACCTTCCCTTTTTGACATATTTTTGAAATATTTGACACTTCCCAAAATTCTGTATGTGTAAGCTTGCCGAAGACAAAATTTCTAAGTGGAATTTAATTTAACACGATTTCTCTTACGTAACGTTTATTAGATTGAATTTTGACCTTACATCTGTCCAGCATGTCAAATTTCTAGTATGGAAATTACATACAACATTTATTGAGAGTGGGTGGAGATAGGTGTTTTCTAAATTTCTTTATCGCTATTTATACGTCTTTTAAATTAGGAATTGAATTAAAGACCTTGCAATTTTTGAATGATAACTATCGTGAGGCATACTTAAATTATTGAAAACTACGACTTATTCACGGAAATAAACAGAGAAAAGCACGACTAGTTTCAAGTCACAACGGGACTCTTATTCATGAGCAGCGTGCGCGTCGCGGCATCATCTGTTGGCTGACGCGAGTTGGCTGCGCAACGGCGTTGTGATTTGTTTGAAACTAGTAGAGCTGTTCTCAGTTTGTTCGTTTTCGTTATTTTCAATAAAATAAAGACCTTGAAATAAAATCAAACTGATTTATTTACAACAAAGCCACTATTTTTATATTTGTAGGTTGTTATATTCGTAGCCAATACGTTCGTATGACACTTCCGCATTTGGTCCAACAAGTGTATGCCTTGATTATAATTAGCAAAGCTCCCTTCTCTAACATTTTGACAAAAAAATATCGAGGCGGAATTGTTTTTTTACAACAAGAAAGTACGATACAATTGAATATTGTCTGTCTAAAAATATAATAGGTATATAGTCAGGAAATAAGTCTGGTAATCTAAGCTGCAATATTATAAGACTCACCTAATTACGAAGCTGTTTAGTTTTCTATGTTGTAGCAATAAAATAAAATAGATATAGAAAATGAATGTTCAATTAAACAATTGAACATTCGTTTTCTATATCTATACTAATATTATAAAGAGGTAAAATTTGTAAGTTTGTATGTAGGGGGTAATCTTTGGAACATCGGTCGGATTTCCAAAATTCTTTCACTGATAGATACCTATAATGTTCCCGAGTGCTATAGGCTATAAAACATCACGCTACGAACAAATCGAGCCGAGCAGCGGTTGAAACCGCGCGAAAGTAGCTAGTCGAGGATATAATTGATGTGAGGGAAAATCAATCGCTTCTCCCGCCCAAGGTGAAGCGAGAAGGAGTATCAGACTCTTACTGACTAAACGCCCTCCCCCCTCCCCCCGTTCTCTTCTCCTACTCTAGGCCGAGGCCGCGGTGCCTAATTGTGCTTAATTAAATGGGTTGGATTATATCTGCAACGTAGGCTACAATTTTTACTCACCAGATGTCGCTAGTATACTAATCGGCTTACCCAATCACAGTAGCTGTCAAAATGTCGACATCCAATGATAATCCAGCTAATTCTCTATTGGAGGAAGAAAAGACGACAGATCGCTGTCGTCTTTAATTCACACTAGCGGAATCTGGCGACCAAAAACAAACTGCTTAAGAAATATTGTACATTATTATCATTTAAATGACACAGCAAAAAAATATGTACATTTTAATTTGATCTCCATACTATTTTCCCACAGGTTTCTTAAGCACAGGCGATGAGGTCGCTCCAGGAAATATGGGGCTAAAGGACCAGTCGTATGCTCTGCACTGGATCAAGAACAACATCCTCATGTTCGGAGGCAACCCTGACAGCATCACTCTGACCGGCTGTTCTGCTGGAGGAGCCAGCGTCCACTATCATTACCTGTCACCGTTGTCCAGAGGTAAGTACTGAACCACTTGTGTTAGAACAAGGTTAGGAGACATTGCTTATTTATCATCAGAAGAAGAATTATGTGAGAGAAGTTTTCGTCGGCTAAGGTAGCCTAAGTTATGAAATATTAAAGGAGATCTAGAGACAAGAAACCGTACTTTATTTATCTATTTAAACTTTATGCAACAAAACATTACATTGGCGGACTTAATGGCGTTGGCATTCTCACCAGTCAACCTTAGGGTGGGTGCAATAAGAAGAGAATTTCGAGGCGATAAATTAAGATTTAAATTGTTATATTTCCTAGTATTTCTAGGATTTTTATGTGACGGCAAATGACGGTAATGGATTGGCTCGACCGAGTGACATCACGGCCCCACAGAAAACCGGCGATAAAAAACAACAGAGTTGTATTTCGCCGTGTGAACGAGGTTACTGGCGGCGCCGATTGCTTAATCAGGTAGTCCGTCTCCGACTCTTTTGCTGACATTTTCCATAAACAAAGAATTCGGAAGTAGATTAATGGTATTAAAATTTTGTTCACTTTTCCGTTTTCGTCAATTAGGCTAGGTAGGTACTGAAATGTTCAAGGATATCATGAAGAAACCCATTATACTCCTGGTTTATTGGTAAATCAACGTTGAATGTCGAGAATAACAGTATTAGTCCATAATAAACACGGAATTTCTTGGAAGCAGTTTATCACAACCGAATAACTTACAACGCTTAACCTCAATGATAGCAGAAATAGAACGAACTATATATGTACACACTATTTCCAGGAAACCTATAAATTATAATAGTATAACTTCATACAGGGTTGCCTAACTATGTCCGAATGAAGCCATAGGATGTAGTTAGACATTTTCATAAAATTTCTACATTTGCGCGGATTGAGACCCGCTTCGCGAACGACTATTAAGATATTTTTCTCTTATTCCAATACAACATTCTCAGGAAAGCCGTAACTGGCCTTTAAACTCTTTTTAAGCCGGATTCACCCGACCATTAGATTTTTTTTTCAGTAGCCTTACACTAGAATTTTCTCCTGTGTCGGTGGTGCAGTTACAAACATACAACTTCACATACACATGACACCCAGACCTGGAACGACAATTTGTGGATCACACAAATAGTTGTTGTTGTTCTGTGCGGGAATCCTAGCAGCCGCACCAACCGTGCAGTCAACCTTCATACCTTAGGTTATTCTTAACCTTTACTTGCACTTACAATAATGCCTTTTATAAATGGCTACCTGACAACCCTAAGTTCATAACAGTTAATAATAATTATACAGACAAGTCTCAATCTCATCACTTCGAGTACCTACGGAATAGTTGAATGAACCATTCCACCTCAATATAACTATAAATCACAAACTTTAATCTACAACAGTGATTCAAAGATAACTAGATGGCGAGGACTTGAGATACGATCACTTTCTAGTTATTACTAAGTTTGCTGGTATTTATAGATTGGAATTAAAGTTGTAGATAATATATATATTATTTATTTATTTATTTATTTATTTATTTATTTATTATTCGGAAGAACCAACAGCATTAACATTTATTAATTATATAACAAACTATGTAACATGCAGCCAATTATAGGTCCCCACTTTTAAGCTATTTTAAACATTACAATTACAACGTGTGCAGACACAAAGTAATAAATTACACTGTAATACACAACTACAAAGTTCAATCAACCTATACAATCAAATAAGATGTTTTTTAAAGAAATCACGGCTCAGCATCCTTCTCACTGATGCATGGTTATCATTAAATATGTCAATGTCATGTGACTTGCATGATATGTTTAGTGACTTTCCTGCTCGCCACAAAAAACTATTCCGTCTATAGTTTGATGACGCTAATTGTAAATGGATCATATAATGTCGTAGTGACACGACGTGTTGCTGGAATATTTATACTAACTTTAGAAAGAAGTATACTATATATATATTATCTACAACAAGTAAGTTCATTTGTGATAGAGCGAAGCTTCGGCAAGTATGGGTCGGCTCGACCGAAATGATACCGCGCCCTCACACAAAACCGGCGTGAAACAACGCGGGTGATCTGTGTTTTTATTTGATTTACGGGCAGGGCGGGTAATTTTTAATTACATACTTACATATATTTTAAAACTTGGCAGTCACAAAACCCAATAGCCAACAGCCGGCTTCATCTAGTTTTTCACATATAAATTGACGTGTAAAAGTGCCGTTTTATGGCCTATTTGAAAAAATAAATTCATTATTTAATTGTTTTAATAAATTCAAAAACAAATTTAGAACAGTTTGTCAGAAATCTCATAAAGACAAAAGAAAAATGCAAAATAAATAGTACCTATATAAATAAATAAAAAATAATATTAAATGGGAGCCATTCTACATTCCAACGCACGCTGCAGTAAGAACGCAAAACTAATTTCGTTGTACGAAAGCTAGAAAAACAGACATTATTTATGACAAACTTTTGCCAAAAATTCTTTTGAAAATGGAATTGCGACGAGCATAGAGCAAAACTGTTTGAACTATAACCTTTTTATTTTTAACCTTTTAAATAGGTGCTTATTTCTGTCTTTATTGTTTGTGAGTAACTCTATTGTTCATGGAACATTCTAGATTACACCCACCATCTTTTGTTGATAATCAGAAAACCTTTACCTTTTAACTTCTCCACGTTTATGATAGGGCCCAAAATAAATATAATTTCTCAGACATTTAAGATAATCTTTGAGAAATTGCTACTGAGAAATTAGAACTGGGCCAATTTTGAACAACTCTTTGATCTTGAAAGGAAAAGTAAAGGTAAGCTTTGACATTTCTATATTTTAGATAAAATTATTAAATTATAAATATAAAAAACTAGACTGCCAAAAATGAAAGCCTCGGTCTGACCTCTTCCTGTTCCACAAAGTATGACGTGACAAAGCTATAGTAAATAAGCACCTTAACTGTTCTCTATAATAACAAGCAGATATCAGAACAGAATCACATCAACAATACAATGACTTGCGATAAAACAGCACATATAAATAGATAAACTTACAAAATAAAATCAGAAAAAATAAACGTAACATTTCACATAAACTGGTTGGTTTAGCCGGCGCCATTTCGTTAACGAATCCGTGCCTTATCAGTTAATTTTAAAACACAACTTTACAGATTCACAACACACCGCCTACTGCTAAAAGAGTAACGATTATGTTTTTGTTTTTGAGATAAAAAGTTCTTAACAACCTTTTTGGTTCATGACTTTGACATCACTGAAAATGAAGTGTGAGCCATTCATGCTTCCCAATTCTCCATACATGTTATAGAAACTAAAAAGAGAAAATGTAGATAGAAAGAAACAATAAATCATAATTCATCCGTTGTCTTTGTAATTCAGTTACAGGTGTATGGTATAAAAATCCCACATTTTATAAGATAGATCGGCCTCCGGCAACCTCAACTCACTCGGCGAAACACAAAACTTTGTGTTTCACGTCGGTTTTCTGTGAGGCCGTGCTATCACACCGGTCGAGCCGATCCATTTCTACCGAAGCTTGGCTCTCCCATACTTTAAGAATCTCGGAAAAAGTCTATATTTTAGTTCAGTGCTTTCTAAGATTATTCTGTATAAATAGGAATTTGAAAATTATCAAACATACTAGCTTTTGCCTGCGACTCCGTTCGCGTGGAATATAATAATGACTTCCTGCAGATTTTTGGTATAAAAAAATATGCTATGTAAGGACATAGGATATTTTTCTCGAGCTCCAAACTACATCCGTTCCAAATTTTAGAGAAATCGATTCAGTAGCTTAGGCGTGAAGAAAAGACAGACAGACAGCATAGTTTCTTTCTCATTTATAGTAATAATAATAAGTTTGGATTAAAACTGTAGTCCCAAAGTCCTCATCTTACACTGGGATCAGGAACACAAACTTTATGACGTTTATTAAACTTATCTTAGCAAACATGACAGTAGAAGAAAGCACTAGTGTTAATAATAGTTAAAAGACAAGCAAAGCAAAGGCTTACAAATTAGATAAGCGAACTCCATTAGCGTCATTCGTATGCTTGTTCTAAGAAAAAAATGGACTGAAACAGCCACAACAGCTGCAAACACAATTTACTTGCACAAGAATTCCCAATTACAACACTTGGGAGTTTAAAAGCGTTTACGCGAACCGGATTTTCATACAAACTTGCAACTCAAAAATCATAGAAACTACTTTACTGATTTTATTAAAACTCTATTCACTCATGTACTCAAGTAACAGGTACTTATAGCAAATTTTAATAAGTTATTACGATCATTTGCAAAAATATCCTTAAGTTATCAGTAATACGTGTTATAAATCTTTTTGTATTTGTGTAGAAACTTAAGGCTATCTCTCTATCTCTCTCTCTCTTTCTTTCTCTCTCTCTGTCTCTTTCCTCTCTTTTGTTCTATGTAACGTCTAAACGAATTATTAATGATTGTCATTCTGATTCTATCTTTGTAGGAATTTTCATCATTTTAACATGAAAATTAATATGAAAACCGCACAAACACCCTAAACAAGAAACTTAAGAAAACATTTACAATGCACATAGATGCATGCTTTTACTCCACATACGGATCTCTTTGTTACCGTACATTGACTTAACACATGCTTATCTTAATCAAGAAACATTTTGCAAGCTTAAGAAAATACAGACACGGCCAAATGTACATTCGTATATGGTTTCACAAGCATAGCAATGTTTACAACGTAAACTTCTTGCTGTATCTGTGGAACTGAGGAGACATACGCGTGGTTTGTTTGAGAAGATAATAGTGGTTCATCTTTAATTTCATGTTGCAACATGTGCTTTGTATTTTTAGAGTAAACATGTTGATGACTTTAACTTTTATTAGCTTCTTAACAAGTTTCTATTTTTGTATGGCAACTATTTCTTAATTATGTCGAAATATTTGACATACACGTGTGTGGTGTAACGCATGAATATCTTGAGTCCCGATGTGACTTGAAATTAGACGCTTCTTCTCGAGACTTTACGTCAGTCTATTAAAAACTGTTTAATATTGTTTTGACTGCTCGTTTGGCATAGTGGCTGGGTAAATTTTGCAACGTGTCGCGGTTTCGATTCTCACACAGAAGTATACTTTGTATCATCTACGAATTGCTGTTTTAGGTCTAGGTGGTTTGTGAATGTGAATTCGTATGTTTGTAAACGCTTCGACACAGGAGAAAATCAAAATGTGGGGCAACGTAAAAAAATAGTTGATGTCTCAAATTTTTTTATCAATAACCTCACCTCTGCTTCGCACGGGTCTAACGACTAAAGAGTCCGTATCTCCTCCCTCCCCTCAAATTTTCTAAAATTTCATTTCGTAAGAACCTTCTCCTGACAATAACAAGCACAACAAAAAAGAATTGGCCAAATTGGTCCAGGCGTTGTTGAGTTATGCGCTTACCAACACATTTTGTGATCCATTTTTATATATAAGTATAGAAGATTTCATGATGATTTCATGATTTTAGAGTTGATTTGAATAAAACATAGATAAGACCCGAATATAATTTATTGGAGAATCCTTTTTGGACTTAAATCCTATTCTTTGTTTACCTAATAGAACAGTTAGGAAGGTAATAGCGGGAAAACTGCCAAAAATACTTTCTTATTTATCTGTTTTGAACATAAATCATATCTTTTATATCTTTCATCTGAAAAATGGCACGTGTAACATAAGTACACACACAAACGTTTAAATCGTTTCTGTGCCCAAATAATTGAGACTTTGTTTTATTAAAATGAATAGTTTGATATTGTCAACATAAGCTAATTGTAGGCCTTTGTTCAACGTTGATCAACTTCTGACTGATAAAAATGAAATAAGAAAATATAGCATAGCAAATACATATTTTTTTTCATTTATCGAGCCACCCCAGCTTGTACAAAATAATGGTTACGTTGGCCGATGCAAATTTCTCCACTTCTGAATAGATCAATCCCACTATCTTTTAAAAAACCGCATCAAAATCCGTACTGTAGTTTAAAAGATTTAAGCATACATAGAAACATAGGTACAGAGAAAGCGACTTTGTTTTGTACCATGTAGTTTATAACAAAAGTACAAAGTTCTATTGAACACAAAGAGACGAAATATTCAACTAGCAACCTCAACCCGACAGACTTTGCCAATGAATTCCGGGGACGAAAAATGTGGATTTCGAACGGTCAACCTTTTTGGTTCGTTCGACAAATCCGTTCAAATCCGCAGAGTGTGAGCACTTTACCAATCATCTTTGTGTCTCTCCCTAGGGTACAGCCATTAATTCCGACGAACATTTCACATAGGAACTAAAGGAACCAATTAGAACAGTTATTGGGGTGATCTTCTGTAATTACCGCGTCAAATGAAGATTACGTCATGTGCCTATTTGAAATGATTGTGTTAGAGTTGTGTTTTACATAATCGACGAAAAGTAACGAATTTTGGCAATAAACATAATATATGTATAGTATATTTATATATTAAGTATCTTTATGTATGTTACTTTGAATTCATTTACACCTCCACTTCCGATAACTTCCGAAACTGCTGTATACCACCTACCACATACGAGTACATCTCTGAATTGCCAAAAGGATGACTGGCAGAAAATTCTTTTAGCGTTATTTAGCCTCCGATGTGCAGTTACCTATATCTATATCAAGAGTAAATAAAATAAAAAAATACAAAAAATCTGTTTCATAATTGGACCGTTTTGTTCCGATATCATCTTACGTCGAGTTATGAATAATACGATATTTACAATCAATAATTATAAAAGGCTTTATTTATTTATTACAAATATTTTATTGAGTACACAACTTACAAACCTAAATAACTTCTCTTCTCTTTCCTCCAAAGATTATACCTTCATTTCCTTCTTCCAGGAACCTTTAACAGAGGTATAGCATTCAGTGGATCTGCCCTCACCGAGTGGACCCACTCCATCAAGCCAGCTGAGAAGGCGAAGGCCCTGTCTTCCATCGTCGGTTGCCCCACCAATAACAATAAGGAAATGATGGACTGCCTCAAGTATAGGCCGGCTGAAGCCATCGTCAACGCACAGATTGATATGTTTGTAAGTATATTCTAACTTGTCTATACTAGTCTATACTAATATTATAAAGAGATAAAATTTGTAAGTTTGTATGTTTGTAAGTTTGTATGTAGGGGGTAATCTTTGAAATCGCTGGTTGGAATTTCAAAATTCTTTCACTGATAGGTAGCTACAATGATCCTGAGTGCTATTGGCTATAAAAAATCACGCTACGATCAAATGGAGCCGTGCAGCGAGTGAAACCGCGTGAGAGTAGCTAGTATTTTATATAATTATGTATAGTTAGCGACGGCTCTTCTGATGGTAAGCTATTAGCGGCACACCAGAGCAGTCCCAAGCCACTTTTAATAAGGAGTACGCTTGTATTATTTAACGCTCAGTATAAATGGGTCAGCTCGACCGAAGTGATACCATGGCCTCACAGAAATCACGCGAAACAACAACAACGTGTTTCACATGTGATTGAGGTTACCCGAGGCCTAATCTCCCCCTCCCTCAATCCCCAAATCTCTAAATCTCCGAAACCCTAATCCCCAAAGGTTGGCATCGCACTAGTACTCCTCCATTGATGTTTGGGTGTCATTTAGTAATCCGTCTGCTCGTTAGCCGTTATAACATTACATTTTTTTTATGTGATAGGACGGCAAACGATCAGACAGATTACCTGATGGTAAGCAATCGGCGTCACCCATGGACACCCGCAACAAAGAAGGAGTTACGAGTGCTTTGCCGACCTTTTAAGGATTGGGATTTTGGGGATTTAGGGATTGGGAAGGGACTGGGGTAGGGGAAGGATTGGGCCTCCGGTAACCTCACTCTCACGGCGAAACACAACGTTGTGGTTGTTTCACGCCGGTTTTCTGTGAGGCCGTAGTATCACTCCGGTCGAGCCGGCCCATTCGTGCCGAAGCATGGCTCTCCCACACTTAACCACCGTCACCTGTATAAAGCTAAACTCTTTTTTTAGGTTGTAAATGAATGAAATGATAAATAGGAAATTAAGTATATTTAGTTTATATACAGTTAATCAAAATATTAATTCTACTGAACAAAATCATATCTCAATCAACCGCAGTATGCTTGTTATATTGGCAGGCAGCCAGAATAATGTTCAGTGGCGCAGTATAACTTAATTATAGTCTGTCGAAACCAGTTACCTATATTAATAAAACTAAACTCCCCAATTTTTATTTTTGACTAACAATTTTTTACCAGACCTGCATACACAAATCTATTAATAAAGAAAAGTATATTTTATACATCCAAACTAATATTACAAATGCGAAAGTAATTCTGTCTATCTGTCTGTCTGTCTGTCTTTTCTTCACGCCTAACTTCAACCGATTTCTGTGAAATTTGGTACAGACATAGTTTGGAACTCTATAAAGGACATAGGATTTTATACCGAAAACCTGCAGGAAGCCGTATTCCACGCGAACAGTCGCGGAAAAAGCTAGTTTTTATAAAATATTTTAAGGTGAGTATATCTACTCTACCTAATCGAACTTATAGTCATTTAAAAATCATAGACAAGCCTACATATCATTGTTCTTTTAATTCCTGCATTTTATAATATAAGCTTAATCACTACAAATATATAAACAAAGTGGCTTTTATGTCCCTACATCCCTATGTATGATTAAATGTTGAAAACTAGTCAACGGATTTTGATGCGGTTTTTTTCATAGCTAGAGTGATTGAATAGGAAGATTAACATCCTTGGGGCGGGTGGCTAGTAATCCCTAAATTCCAAATATTCCAGGAATGGAAAGTGCACATGTTCACGCCGTTCAGCCCAGTGGTGGAGCCCCGAGGAGTTCGGGAGCCGTTCCTGCAGCAGTACCCGTACCACGCTACAAGATCTGGCCAGATGATGAACGTGCCACTCATCACTTCTGTGACGTCTGAGGAGGGATTGTACCCGGGTGCCGGTAAGTGTTATAATGTTATTGGTCAAATCAAATCCTGTCTTCTAACAAGTTATCCAAGTACTAAGTGGCAAAATATTCGCCTTCTCAGTCTTTCTCTTCTCGATCTTGGCAGAGCAGTCGTGGTTAAGTTAAAGTGGCTGTATTTGTATTAGGGATATCTATTTTGTTTTAAATAGGTAATCAAAAAAATGGTTATTATGTGACAATGTAGCTTTATGACCCCAACATCAATCCGAACACATATTAAATAAAGACAAGAGTATTATCCAGTTTGATACTTTTTAAAAAGAACTGGTTTTGTTCCAGCTAAAATGCCTACTGAACTGAAACTAGAAAAAATACTGAAGTAGACAAGTCAAGCAATTAAGAAATATGACATGTTTTAAAACTGTAATAGGAAATGATAACAGGGTGCAATGGATCACACAATACTTGTGTCCAAATATTTCTCTTTAAATTTAAAACGCTGTCTAGCCTTTATTTCGCCATCCCTTTCAAAAACTATAGAGCATAACAAAAAGTATAAAAAAACTATAACATATACAACTTCTTCAAGTATATGCTAGGCGATCTTTTGCGTAATAAAAAATTGAAAGAATATCTCCCATAAAAACACTATCTAATTCTCCTTCCAGCATACCAAGAGACACCAGATCTATTGGCGGACCTGGAAGCTCACTGGAACCAGCTGGCTGCTAACATCTTCGAGTACAATGACACCCTACCGCTTAACCAACGTGACGAAGTTGCCATAAAGATCAAGCAGCACTACTTGGGAGGCAAGCCAGTTAGCCAGGAGACATACCCACAGCTGATCCAGGTAATGATGTTATCCTTAACCCTTTTGTTCATGAGGAAAATGGAATTCGGTTCTTTCGGAAGTGAATACTTATATGAGCGTTGAGCGGTTGGTTGAGGTGTAAAATTATATGTTTTGAGAAGAGCTGAACATCGAGCTTAGTGGCGTGCAATTGGAGAGGCCTATGTCCAACAGTGGACGGAAAACAAAACAAGCTGATGACGACATTATAATTTCCAGTAACATAAATATTTTTCAATACCGGGTAAGTTCGGGTTACTTTGACCCTGTGGGGTAACTTTGATCCAAACCCTTTAACCAATAATAACTGAGAACCAAACATATATTCGTTTTTCATTGGTTCGAAAATTTGGATCAAAGTTACCTCCCGGTAGTCATCTTTTTTTTAATCTGCGCTGAAAATTAAATAACTACTAAATTTCGTCTACTAAATCCTCCATTAAAGTAAGTAACTATTTCTAAGTTATGCTTCACACTGCCAAAGACCATGCATACCAATTATTTCTATTGTTGTCTATCACTCAATCACTCACTTCAGTCAGTCAGTCAATCACCCAGTCAGTCAGTCAGTCACTTAATTACGTATCAACCAACTTCCTTTACTGACTGATTGACTGACTTATTATTATTATTATTTTCTTTTCCGCCTAAGCCTCTGGAATTTATGTTTGGTCAGTGGCCCAATAATAGTTTATTACTCCACAGTGTACCCTAGTTAAACCTTATTGATTGTATTCCCAACGAATACACGCGACGTAGCTCGTGAGATAATCCTTCGAACTTCTAATTAATAACCTGCCGATCTACCGCCCATTGTGTTGTTTTACAGTATAAAAGTAAACACTTGACACTTTTTATCACAACTAGTATGTATTTTTGCAGAGTAACGGTCCCTTTCAAATCACGAACAATTATGCCTTAAAAATAATCGTCCTACCTTATTTATACTTTCATCAAATATCAAGTGACTAGTTATTTATGTTTAATAAATATTATTTCTAGTGTGATTAAATCTCCAGTTATCATTAATACAATAAATTAAATCGAATTACTTAGGACATAATTATAAACCAATTATTTAAATTAATCAGTAAATAAATAATCTAAATATGACGTCATATCCGCTGTCCTCCTATTTGGTGTTGCTAGTACTGGTGAACACTCGGCCATCCTGCCCAGACCGTGTCCCACGGTCGCTGTTACGCCATCCAGAAGCAGCTCCGTTATCCTGAAATAGAGAATAATACTCCGCAGTAACTGGTTGCTTTACACAATATGAAAATAGTTGAATGTGTTTTCTAATATAATATTTTTATGTCACACAGGAAAAATACATATACACAGGGTTCATGACATGTTCACACAGTTGTTTTTAGTCGCAGCGGACTTGTTCACATAGCCGTCCATACTGCAATTTATTGGACTTGGTCACACAGCTGTCCTTGCTATATACTATATATGTATGAGGCTATCACACAGTGGTCCTTACTACATAATATATGTTATATGGGACTTGGTCACATAATCGTCCCTTTTATATTATATTGGGCTTGATCACACAGCTGCCCTCTCTGCAGTATAATGGACTTGGTCACATAGCTGTCTCTTTTATATGATATTGGACTTGATCACACAGCTGCCCTCTCTGCAATACCATACAGATACTAAAATGGACTTGATCACACAGCTGTCCTACGAAGGTCTGTTAATTAGTTATCATTTGCACTTACATTATATGTCATTGTAAGTGACACGAGATCATTTCAGTGTTACTTGATTTTTAATAGTGTTTATGGAACAAAAATAAAAGAACAATATTTGTAGTAGCTACTCTATGTTTACTATGTTTAAGTATTTAATTAATTTACTAAATTATAATCATGGTATTAGTTAGCATAATACTTCACTATTGCCTAATGATCAGCAACTTACAGAAAATGTGGTTATTTTTAAATTATGCTACACAGTTTGTTGTTTGGTTAAAGGACAGTTAATATAATAAATTAATAACATGTTCGTAGAGTTGCACATTCTTAACAGTAACTTGCTTATGAAAAGATGATAAAATATATAAAAATCATTCAACTTTCTAGAAGATCAATTAAGTCATCTCTATCAACTTCGTGATCACTACCTGAACTATCATCTTCAGACATGGTTGGTTTGTATGGTCGAAGTGTCTCACCACGAACTACAGCGCTAAATTTTCTATAGCCCTTCATACCCTTAATACTTGTGATGGTGTAACGGTCTAATAAATGATCTACCTTACATACTTTGTATGGACCTGTATATAGGCCATTTAATTTTCTGGTGACTCCAGAAGAGGAGTCTCTAGTTACCCCGCCCGTCCAGAGCACTAATTGACCTACAGCATATTTAATGCACTTCTTCCTTTTCTTATCGAAGCGTGCTTTCATTGCAGTCATATTCCTATCGATACGAAGTTTAGCTGTTTCCCTATTAGCTTGGAGCTCTTTGAGCTGCAATTCAGAGGTCGAAGGTACATGGGAAGGAAAAGCTGGGTATCTAGAATTTTTGTGGCCAAACATAAGATTGAAAGGTGAAAAACCAGTTGTGGCATTGGGAGTATTATTGATACCCCACACAATGTCATCTAACTTATTATCCCATGTACATTCACTCTCCGTCATTGTATTAAGACCGTTCAGTAACGTGCGATTAACGCGCTCCACCTGGCCGTTAGAACGCGGACTGGCTATAGCATTTAAAATATGTTTAAATTGATTTTCGTCAGCGAATTGTTTAAAATATCTACTGGTAAAAGCTTTGCCTCTATCTGTAATTATTCTAATGGGGTAACCAAACTGTAATATAATTTCTTTGAGTAGTCGAATTGTTTCAATGGAACTACAGTTCTTAGCTGGACGAGCAAACACGTATTTGGTAAATGCATCAATAACTACAAGAATATATGAATTTCCTTTACGCGTTTTAGCAAAAGGGCCAAGATGATCAGTATGTAGAGTATGCATGGGCACTGCAGGTTTCTCAATCGGGTAGAGTTCTCCTTCTAACCTGCCGTAGTTGCCCTTGTTGAATGCACATTGTAAGCAAGAATTAATATATTTTCTTATGAATCTGGTCATACCTTCGAACCAAAACTGAGCCTTGATAGCACTTTCACACTTTTCGAATCCCGGGTACCCGATCTGATCATGTAATTTTTGTAATAAACCGTATTTTGCTAACTTTGGAATAACGAAACGATCTCCAGCTACGGTTTTCCGAAACAATATGCCTTCTTTAACAATGTAATTTATAGCAAGATTGGGATCGGGGTTTTCACGAAGTCTATTTATGATATTTTGTATATTATGATCCTGTAATTGCAGAGTAATCAACCAATCAGAATTGTCAATAATGAGTATCAAGTTAGTAGCAGGATTTCTGCTTAACGCGTCTACATGTCGCATACGTTCGCCTGGCCGATACTCAATTTCAAGGTCAAACTCTTGTATCGTAAGCCACCAGCGAGCTATACGGGGTACTAAATCCCTCTTAGTAAGGGTCGTCTTAAAGCCGAGCAATCAGTTACAACTTTAATTTTAATTTTAATTGACATGAACCGAGTGAATTTACACAAGCTCCACCAAAGCCTCTCATGATAATAGTACTAGGCTCAATCTTAACTTTTAATTTCTTCGCTTGTGAGATAGTAAGTATATTCAATTTACTGCCAGTATCTATATACGCTATAAGTTGGTGACAATTTATGTCGACAGTCTTTTTATAATAATCAAGATAGATATCATAGGTTATATGCAGCACGTGGCTATTTTGACTAACCTTTTGCGGTTGAGATGTCCCGGCTGCAAACCAGCATTCTTCAGTCTTATGTCCCCTACGTCCACAATTGGTACAAAGATGTTGTTGCCTGCAGTTCTTGGCTTCATGACCTGGACGGCGACACGTGTAGCATATCTTCGGCTGGTGTTGATTTAATGATGTAGACTCTTGTGTAGTACCACCACCTGAACCGCCCCGTTTCCACGTAGACTTCCGAGAAGAGTTAGATTCTACCCGTTTGAAGTTTTCTAGTGAAGACAGGTAGCCAAAGTAGAGTTGCTCGGGAGTTTCACAGCTATATGCTTTAGCGTTCGCTCGTAACTCTATAGGCAGTCCCCGAATTATGCATGAAATAGCATCTGTCCCGTTGATACAACATTTTCTTAAAAGCGACAATTTTTCATGATAATACTTAGTCATCGACTCCTTGTCCTCCTTCGTCCGGGCCATCATGCGTTCTAATTTGTCTGCATAGTCGATGGATCGAGGAAACGCGACGCGTAGCATTTCCTTCCATCCATCCCATGTCAAATCATAGTTTTCCAGGTCGTCATACCAGTCACGCGCAGCACCACGTAAGCGCAACTGCATAATGAATGTACGGTCAGTGTCGTCCCAACCATATACATCACCGAGTTGGTCAATTTTATGGAGCCAACCAACCACGTTGCTACTGTTATCTTCCGGACGAAATTTTGGAATAACTTCGGCATCACTGGGAGCAACATGTCGCTTTTTGTTGACGGCGGCGCTCGGACGGTCATCAGAAAAAAAAATTTCGTCATCTGAACTGGTCGTTTCGCTGCACTGCCGGTTGCGTTTACCGAGTCCATGTAAATACGGCCCAGACATTGTCCAGATAATCCCACTTCTGAGATTTTACAGTATAAAAGTAAACACTTGACACTTTTTATCACAACTAGTATGTATTTTTGCAGAGTAACGGTCCCTTTCAAATCACGAACAATTATGCCTTAAAAATAATCGTCCTACCTTATTTATACTTTCATCAAATATCAAGTGACTAGTTATTTATGTTTAATAAATATTATTTCTAGTGTGATTAAATCTCCAGTTATCATTAATACAATAAATTAAATCGAATTACTTAGGACATAATTATAAACCAATTATTTAAATTAATCAGTAAATAAATAATCTAAATATGACGTCATATCCGCTGTCCTCCTATTTGGTGTTGCTAGTACTGGTTAACAGTTGTTAATTAATTCATAGCATATGGAATATAAAATGAAGGCAACAATATGTTTATTTTCTATTTTATTTCTGTTATACTCTGGATTTGCCTGCTACACAAGTCAATCCGTATCCGTTTTTTGCGAATGAATTTTCGATGCAATCTAGAAATTATTTTTTTATTCGAAATGTATAAAGGAGACGGGGACTTCTGGGCCCTCACGTAATAAGTTGAAGTAGGGCTTAAAAAAATGGTTATTTTTTTCTATTTTACATAGTGAAAAATCAATTTATTTTACAATCTGGGAAATGAAAAATCCAACAATTTAGTTAGGGTTACGAAGTAATCGGATTATCGATTCAATTGTAATTAATAACTCTGTAACGAACAGAGTTCATACTATTTACGAAAATGATGTCACTGAATGATTTATTTAATTAAAATAATTAAATCATTTGAACTCACAGTAATAAGAGTTTAAACTGAGTTTAGAGTTTAAATATCAACATAATTAAAAATATTTTATCGATTCGTTTTTACTAATCGATTATTGTATTTTTAATCTGTGCTAGCTCTGACATGTATGACATGACACCGATCGACACTCGTTTCGTATCGTTTAGGCGTGTGCGTTCTGAGTGTTTTTATTTTCCTCCCATTTTTCTTATTGGTATTTTCCTCGGCCGGCTTTCCCACGGACCTTTGATTTTCCTCTTTAGGAGTGAGAGCAGGGTTTCTTCTTGTTGTTATTAACTCGAGGCTGTCGTGGTTTGGAGTGATTTATTCGGCACAATGTCTCTACTAATATTTACATGTCTTATGGCTATCTTACACGCTATCACACATATGTAAATACAATTGACCAATAGCAGCGCGCGTTCGTCGCAAGGCTCGACGGAGCGGCTGCGCGCATGCGCCGTCGCGGTCGCCGTTCGTCGCGATGTCGCGAGCACAGCGCGAGGCTATAATAGGGCGCGTGCCGCGAGACGCGTCCTTTCGCTCCGGTGCCGCCGACGACTACAGACGTGTCCAGTGTTCACCTGTGCCGTGGACCGTAACTTCGTGTCTTCGAGTGCTTCGAGCTCCGCTTCTGCCTGCTTGCCTGCTTATTTGCTTGCTCACTATAATCTCGTTTCTGAGCAGAAGTCAAAAACGTTTTAAAACGTCTTTTTCAAGACGAGTTTCTGTTAGCAGAGGTCAAAAACGTTACAAGCGTCTTTTTCAAGACGAGTTTCTGTCAGAAGTCTAAAACGTTTGAAACGCCTTTTTCAAGGCGGCTTGTTTCACTGTTTCTGATAACAGAAAGTCATAAACGTTGGTATTGGTTTGTTGTTCACGGAGGTATGGTAACGGTAATCTGGTTCTTCAAGGAGGTACGGTAAAGGTAATCTGGTAATAGGTATGAGATGTGGTGGTTATGCCATAGAATATAGGTATGTATATGTAGGTATGTATGACGCTATACCTCCTTCTACGACCTTTGCCTTGCTACCATTACCATACCGGACACGGAGAACTTCGCTTAAACGTTGAACTTGGACTTGCATATTTTAAATTCGACGAACAACCTACCGATAGGATATTGATCGACATTATGGATCGTTGTGTAAATTGTGGCATAGCGACTAGTCGCTGTAATACACTAGGACGTCGCGCGCGACGTCGCGCGCGAGCTTTGGATGACTAAATGATATTAGCAGTGATTCGAAAATGGCCAAAGGAGGAGGCTGACCTCCTCCTTGGCGAGCCTTACTGCATAAGCCTTGCCTGCTAAGTAAACTGAAAAGACGAGAAAGTAGGTAAACAAGAAGTAATCTATGCTGTGCAGTCGAAGGATGCATCTGGTTTATATTTGATATTTGTTTATATACAAACATAAATACATACAAATATACACACGTATACTATTAAAACCATTACCCGCCTCCGGCAATCGGGTAAAAATCACTATCGCACTTCAAAAATTGGCGAATATATATAGATTGTTACTTAACCTCACTTTTCTTAAATCTTTTATATCTCGGCTCCCAGATTGCCAATATCTGCGAAATTTTCAGTAATTGTTTGTTAATATAGTAGCTATCAAATGACACCAGTTTCATCTTTTTACATCTAGGCCCAAAATTGTATGAAAGCGTATCCGTCCCCTTTTATGTTATTTGTGCTTATTATTATTGTTAGTAAATTAATTTTGATCATGTGCATACCAAAAGTTTAAAATAGAAATAAATAATTAGGTACCTATAAAGAGTATCCCTTTTAAAATGGGAATAAAGATGATGTGCCAATTTTCAAGTTAATATAACTTTACAAACGACCCACATAAAATTGCTAAGGAAAATCTTCATAAGGTTTCCTTAGAAAATCATCCAATGACTTATTTCGCCCTGGTTGGTGTGAAGGGGAACTGACTAAAAACCACCCCGCTCCTCCTGCTCAAGGCTGGGGCCGCAGCTAATCATTGTCATTTACCACCACAGTGAGAGTAAGAGTCATTGTGAGCGATGTATAAAACTAAAACTTGTTTCATTTATGCGAAGATATTCATTAACATTAAATAACAAAAGTAATATGACGGTCCGACTAGTGGCATTTGGCATTCCACTGTCTCAGTGCAACTTATCACAAACAAATATCTAATTCATTCTACCTTCCACAGGCTCTAAGTGACCGTCTCTTCGTAGCCGATGTAGGCAAGACGGCGCAGCTCCACGCTGCCAAGTCTGGACAGCCGACATACGTGTACCGGTACGCTTTCCGAGGCACCTCCAGTCTTTCCAATTTGATGGCACACAACGACAAAAATTACGGTAAGATTCTAAGCCATAATTGCCTTGTTTCCTCAATCAAAAAGAAATTATTTCAACGTATACAATTTTAATTCTCGTAATTTTATTGTTATTTCAAGAGAAATATGTAGGTATACTATTTGACGTTAAAATATTGTGACGTCACAACATGTTATTTCAAACAAGATTCATAGATAATTATCGTTTTTGACTTTTATTTCGATAAAAGTGACGAATTTGACTTGTTGGATACTACCCTATTCTCTCCTAGAAACTTACATAACATATCGCTTGTCTCGTGGTACAAGGGTGGCCACAGGCCAACATACCTCCGGAGATTTAACGACCAATTCCGGACATATAGCCGTCTGGAATGAAGGCAAATCTTCAGCCGGAACTTTACAAATAACTGAGGAGTCAAACAAAAAAATACATATATTATATAAAGCGGGTGTTCACGACATACTATATGAAGTCTGCGAACAAACGCAGGACGGAGAGGTGCTTATCTCTCAACCCTTTTCCGCACGCGCGTCAAAATTCGAACAATTTGGTTTGTTTATTTACTTAAGCGTTTCACAGCGACGTTAAAAATAGACCGAAAAGTCCGGATATTTCATCAAATTTTAAGCTTTTTGTAACGAAATTTTGATCTGTGAGCCGAGCCGAGATCGCAATGAATCTACTTTGGACCAAATTACTGTATGCAATACACTGCTAACAATGAGATTAGGTAGACTATGCAGTAAATCTGTAGTATGTAAAATATATTCCAAATATTTAAATTTATTCCAAATCTGGCACCAAAGACTTCGCAAACTTTCTAAAAGGCCATATTCTTGAAAACTCTTAATTAACCTGGGACCTAGTGCAATCTTGACTCTTGTCAGAATCAAAAGTATGAAGGCCACAAAATTACAAATAAGGCCCCTATAACACATGTTATTTTAAACCGACTTTAAAAATTAAATGATCAGTTTTCTTCTTTTTTATAATACACAGGTGTGAGCCACGGAGACGACGTGCTAAGCATCTTCAGTTTCCCTGGAATGACACAGAGCGAACACGACACAGCCATGATTGAAGCTCTCATCAATATGATTTACAGCTACTCCACAACCGGGTAAGCAAATTCAAATACTTTAGAACAGAGACTGATTTACCGAGCTGCGATAGGTGGAGATAATAATAGACCTTCCTATGTAGCGAAGACTCTTAGTGCGGATATGGGCTGACCCATACTTCGGCACAAATGAGCCGGTTCGATCGGAGTGTGACTCAGAAAACTAGCGTTAGAAAATGTTTAGGTTGTGTTTCGCTGTATGAGTGAGATCGTCAGGACTCAAATCTCTAACTTCCAGACGACCCGTTATGCTTGTAACTTATCGGTGTTCTTAGTCTCCATAGATGTCGCCAATTGGCTATCATTTAGTAATCAAACTGCTCATTTGTAGTATTTTTAACAAGTTTTCCATTTGAAAACTAACTTTCAACCTAAATTTTTACGAGTTTACTGCAGATTATTTAGCGACATTTTTGCGTTCACCTGCTACTTGTCTCCCTTTGGTAGTAGCATAATGGTTTATACCGCACTGAGGAACATTTTTAAAATCCGAGGGTCTCCAAAGGCTTCTCCTATATATGCAAACTTAAAAATTACAAATGTTACCATGGACAATAAAATTTTCTTCGTCACTTTTCCTTCCGTGAAAATAATAATATTATAAAGATCCTAGCTTGACCATCTTAGAACTGAGTATTGAGCAAAATAGACCAGACCACGTGGTATAAAACATAGTTTTACAATGGACAATCTATAACGTACCTACCTATAGATATATGAAACTGATACATATCTATTTTTCCAGAACTCCCAAGTTGATCAACGGTGGACCTGTATGGGAACCTGTGAAGCCTGGTTCCCCTGAATTGAACTACTTGGATATCCTGTCGCCGACCAAAATGGAAATGAAGTCGTCATCAGATTTTGGACAGAAAGCGTTCTGGGACAGCCTAGGGTTTAATGAGAATGAAAATTACCGCGAATATCTCAGGGACGAACTCTAAGAAAGTAAAAATGTTTTTAATTTACCTTAAGTGTATGTTTAAGAAATTTTTCGTCCTTTTTTTACTCCGATTAAATTTTTTGATTGATTGTGTTCACGAACGAAAATAAAAGACTTTTGAATTTTAATTTTAACATTCTTTTGTTTCCTTTTTCCCGACTTCATAATTTGACAAGTTTTCTCGTTTTTGAAAAGTTGTTTTTATCGTCAAAATTGCTCTAATACTTACATTTTTAATCTTCGATAAGTGGATCCCTAACCTACAACAAGCGAAACTTTAAAATGTCAACATCACATAAACATGTTTTTAAACTAAAATAACTTTGGACTAAGGAAAACACGCATTCATCCTCATACAGCCTTGTCACAACGAACAATAAATATTATTTTACATTGGATTATTGGTGTAAAAGCTAGATACGCCATACTTCAATACTTTTTGAAATGTTCGATAAAATCTATCGACAGTTCGTGCAATGTTTTGCAGTTAAATTTGATATTGTTTTTTAAAAACTGGTTATATATAACCCTCTGTACGCTACCGTTTTTGATCACTAGATGGCGTTTGTGTGGTCTCTGCTCTTTTCGAATTAGTTAAAATTTTGACATTTTACATGGTCCGGTGTTTTATATGTGCTTTCTATGATTATTTAGACACCACTGACATACGGTGAAGGTAAATATAATGAGGAAACCTGGACTTTTAATTTCTAATTATAAGTTTGAAATCGCCAATCCGCCATGAGCAAGCCTTGTGATTAATGCTCAAACCTTCTCCGTATGTGAAGAGGCTTTTGCTCAGCAGTGAGTAATTCTACAAACTGACATTTTTCCCTATGAATGCTATGTGTGCAAAAAATCGATAGCCCCGGTTGTGTTTGGTGCAGTGACTGAACAGATACTTATGAGCGGCTTATAGCTTATGGGATTGGGAATTACCTATGACTCTTATGTAATAGCTGACCAGCTCATGTTACACATGGATAGTTTCATTGGACATTATTCAATCCATTAATTCAATCATTATAAGTATATAGGTATTCTTTTCTTTAGAATGAGAAGTAGGTAGGTAAACAAAATATCATATTTTTATTATTAATTTCATTATACATTTCATGAAAACTTAGTTTTAAATTTTGCTACTTATGTTCCAGTAATATATAGACATTTTATTTGACGTTAAAACACTATGACGTCACATATTGCGATCCCCGTATAAACAATTCACAGAAAGTATCGTTTCTGTCATAAAAGTATAGAATTAAACGTTGCAAACTACGAGATTGGTCATTTCCTAAGTTAAAATACATTATTTTACATTATTTTTCACAATATAAAATATTGAAAAATAACCATAATATTAGTTAATGCATTCATTTGCCTAAACACAAACGAATTAAGAAATAAGTAGGTACCATCTTATTTCTTAAAAATTGTGTACCTACCTGCTTTTACTTGACTTAAAAATATTATGAATTTATGACGTCATAAAGGAGAAAATCATAAAACGACATCTCTCGCCTAGGGTGAGGCAAAATGAAGTGTCCGACTCTTCATCATCATCATCATCATCATCATCAGCCTATAAGTGCCCACTGCTGAGCAAAGGCCTCTTCTCATACGGAGAAGGTTAGAGCATTAATCACCACGCTTGCTCAATGCGGGTTGGCAATTTCAAACTTATAATTAGAAATTATAAGTCCAGGTTTCCTCACGATGTTTACCTTCACCGTATGTCAGTGGTGTCTAAATAATCATAGAAAGTACATATAACTCGGAAAAGTCACATTGGTACTTGCCAGGTTTCGAACCTGCACCCTCATGCATGAGAAGCGGGTGCTTTAACCTCCGGGCCACCACGACATTATTATTTTATTTGTCCGACTCTTATTAACTAAAAACCTCCTTTTCCTGCTCCATATCGACGCCGCGGTAGCTTATTGCGCTTGACCCGCAATCCGGGCAGAGCATTGGCTCTGTTCAGCCTTATCTGTGGTGGGCTATTGGCTTTTTGGTCAGGTTGGTCCGATTGTGATCGGCCGGCGAGCTATACTTGCTCGCCGAAAATCAATGACGTTCACGTTCTTTTATACCTAACTACCACTTAATTACTATGTGTAGGTAATTTAATTAAAAGGTACATTTAGGTACCAAAAATAAACACTAGACTTTTATTTAACACAATTGGTTTGAGTCCTGAATTTGAAGCTTCAAGGTTGTAACATCAAAGCTATTAATTATATCTATAATCAGCCGAGATAATCACTTTACTCTCTTGTCAGTGAAGTTTAAATTCAATTAAGGCATTCTATTAATTGATCTGTCGAACTATTTTAACATTAATTTGGAAACTAACTGATGTAGGTAGTTGTTTCATGATTGTCTAACTTCTAGTAGCGGATCCTTCCGTTTACCTGGATAAAAACAAGGCGTGTGTTATTTCAGACTTATAATTTATCTTTATGCCACTTTTCATCAAAATCAGTTAAGTAGTTTTTAAGAGAAAGACCAACAAACATCAATAAAAAAATTATAAAACGTTTTGTAATTTTTTTTAACTAATTAAGTAACTATTGATTTCATCTATTTATTATTAGACAATGACTGTAAGTATATTTAATTGAAAGTGCAACTTTTATTTTTAATGCGACTGGCCCCCATATCCTTTCAAAACTGATACAACTCCCATAGGCCAGGATTTAAGTGTGGGAGAGCCTTCGGCACGAATGTGTGGGCTGGACCGGAGTGGTGCCACGGCCTCACAGAAAACCTGCGTGAAACAATCACAGCGATGGTTTTCGCCGTCTGAGTGTGGTTACCGGAGGCACCATCCTTCCCCTCTCCCAATCCCTAAATCTTCAAATCCCTAATCCCCAAAAGGTTGGCAAGGCACACGTAACTCCTCTGTTATTGCGGGTGTCCCTGGGCGGCGCTGATTGCTTACCATCAGTAAATCCGTCTCGTAGTTCGCCGTCCCTATACATAAAAAAAATCTACAGTACTGATACACACAACTCGAAACACTGAAGTCGACGCATTTCAAGGACTTGAATAACTGTTTAGGATCCCGCAATCACAATGATATTAATTGGGGTCAGATAAATCTCTGCCTATCATCACGTAAATTAAAAATTACGATGCATAATATTATATTATTTTTTTATACCCAATGCTACTTACTACTTAGTGATCTTATGAAATAATTAGGTTCCCTTTATTGGAGTTTGGATACGACAACTGTTTAGGTACAATAAATAAAAGGTCAATAGTCCATTCGTAATCGATTAGGTCTGGGCATTCTGATTAGGTAATAGACATTCGATTATTTATCGATATTAAGGACATTTAAGTACGCTTTGTATAACAAATATATGAGTTAAATTTATACATAATAGGGAACACACACAAACACGTGGATTATAATAGGTATAATTAAGGCTAAACAGTGACGGTTATAAAGATCTTACCACTTCTGTATAAAAGTGGATGATTCATCCATGCAACAAATGCTAAAGGCTAGAGCCATTTTTGTACCCTATAAAAGAAATTCCTTTTGAGGTGGCTCTATAAATCGATTGGATACATAGATTGGAGTGAAAGAGTGTGTGTCTCTGATCTCACTAAAAACCACATCATTCCTTCTCTTGCTCCAAGCCTGGCCGCTGTGCATCATTGCGCTTGTACCCCAGCGTGGTCAGCCGGGGTTGCGAGACAAGCGCAATTCGGCCTATGGGAGTTGTAGCACAAGTTACCGCGGCCTCGGCCCAGAGCTGGAGAACGAACAGTGGTTTAGTCGGTAAGAGTCTGACACTCTCCCTCGCCTTACCCTGGGCGGGAGAAGTCATACCGTGGTGGTATGATGAGGTAGACTAAAGATACAAGTACGGTCTGAAAAGATTATTTTTTCTTGAGGCTGTGAAACTGTCTTCTCTCGCCCAGTGTGAAGCGAGAGGGTGAGTCACTCTTACTCGCCCAGTTTGAGGTAAAGTGTGAGTATTACTCTTACTGACTAAAAATTACTCTGTGCTTCCTCCTGCTACAGGCCGAGGCCGCGGTACTATATATATTACGCTTGTTTATGGAGCCAACTTTCTTGAGTAGTACGTCCATAACTTGCAGTCTAAAAACCACTCCTGTGTCCCGTCTACACGTAGGTAGGAGTGTATTGGATTCATTCTCCCATAGCTCCCGCTCTCGTAACAAACCATCGATTTAATAGATTTTAATATTAACTAGCTTCTGCCAGCGACTTCGTCCGCGTGGAATAGTGATAGTTCTGGCAAATTTTTGGTTTTACACACATAGTTCCCGATCTCGTAAGATTTTCAGGCAGTTCTTCTTTTGAATTTCCGAGATAATAACTATCCTAGGTCCTTTCTCGAGTTTCAAACTATCTCTGTACTAAAATTTCTCCAAATCAGTTCAGTAGTTGAGACAGATAGATAGACAGAGTTACTTACGCATTGATAGCATTGGATTGAAATTAAACAAATTCTCCCGATTTCCCAACATTTCTCTGCTCCTTTTAAATGTAGCACAATGAAAAGTATTCTATAATCTGCCCAGGAATATAACGAATAATTGTACGAGTTTCGTTAAAATCTATCGAGTAGTTTTTGTTTCTATAAGGAACATACAGACAGACAGACAAAAATTTTACTGATTACATTTTTGGCATCAGTATCGATCACTTATCATCCCCTAATAGTTATTTTGAAAATATATTGCATGTACAGAATTGACCTCTCTACAGATTTATTATAAGTACCTATAGATAATACTATGCCTTCCCACCTACCTAATTAAGTGTCTATCTACTGTTAGGTTCATTGCTCCGTTAACAGTGCAAAAACACACACACACAAAGCACGCTTTTGTTAAGTTGGTACGTACATAAGTACCTACCAGTCTTAAAATAAATATTCTGATTAGATCTGAGTTCAATAGATAGGTAACTATCCATATATCTACATATAGCTACAATTAAATATCGTGTGCCTAAGTTAATAAATTTACATTACCTGTAAACACATTTCACCGAACCAGATTATCAATAAAAAGATAAAAACTTATTTACTAATAATGATAAGCAATTGTTAATCTTAATCGCTTGAATTTAAAGGTAGGTGCATAGGTTAAATAGCTCTTTATCTGATCCTAGTCTGTGGAATCCTATTTAATTACTAACTTACAGCAAATCGCATGAAGACAGGGCCGAATTAATTCAGTCAGGGGCTCGTAGACGATAAAATTCTCGGCGCCCATTTTATTTTCGAAGGAATTTAAGCAATTTTCACATAAGTATCCTCATGAAAATTGTCAACCCGATTAAAGAATAGATTATTATTGTTATTTTTTGTGGCATCTTGATCTGTTAGAATGGTTTTCTTGGTAGAAGATTCTTGGTGGACTAGGCATTCTTTACTCTCATCATGACCACTGCTAAGCAAAGGCCACTTACCACACGGAGATGTAAGGCGGATTGGTGATTTCAAACTAAGTAACCAAATATAGTCAGGTTTCCTCATGATTTTATCCTTCATCTAATGTCTTAATAATCTCAGAAGGTAGGTATTTAGATATAATTCGGAAAGTCATATAAGTAGGTACTTTGCGAGGTTTCGTACCTACCTCTAACCTCCGAGTCATTCCTATTCTGCCTGTTGGGTAATCCGGTCCCGCATTAGATCGTGAGACAAAGCATGGCATCACATCCCGACGGGGCGAAGTACGGTGCAAATACAACGGTTTTCACCGGTAACAGAATTTTATACGCAGGTACAAGCGCAGATTCAAACGCGAACGTCCAAATAGATACTAACATAACAAGAGCTAGAGAGAAGGATCTCCATACAGAAAACATAATTAAAAAGACTCATAAAATGACACAAATGGGCGCGCGCCATTTTTAGCTGGATTTTGACGGATTTCCGCTTCAATCAACGCGGTTTGGCTCTGTGCCCGTATAAACTGATCCTTAAGCTTGATAATTATTATAAATCGTATCTATTTCTTAAGAATGATCCAATTCCATATTCGAACCTAATAATAAAATACTTAAGTAAAAAAGGCATACCAAAAAAGTTGTGATACCTAAGTACTGTAATACCTATAATATGTAGGTACGAGTAGATTGCCTATAGTGTTATCGACATAGGCTTGAAAAGGAAACCATGGGACCAACAAACCATCGAGAAAATATCCAGGATATATCGTCCCCGTAGAACGAAAAGTCATTAAGTCGAAAATGACCAAAATGAGATACGAGGCTACAAAGTTTTAAAAAATTAAAAAAAAATATATTTTTTTTCTGACAGTAGATATTTCTGAATTTATGTATCAGCTTCGGGCTTATGTTCAAATATGAAAAATTTCAAAAACATCATTTGTTTTTAAGATATTTAGGAAATACGAAAGTAATTATTTTTTCCCTTACATCATTTAATCCTAAAGCAGGTTAGTGATTTTTCGATCTGAGTTAATGATTTTTCGCCCATATTTAAAACAATTTCGTAGAAATTAACTTGATTTAGTTATATTTCAACTTCTTTCTAAGAGCAACATAATATTCAGAAAATAATAATTATGTATTAATAACGCCTATTAGTTACTTATAATTATAATAAGATAAGAAAATCATTAAAACATAACTGATATACATCATAAATTTACTTTATTAATAATATAAAAGAAAAACAGTTACATGAATCTTAAAAAAACACAAAAACAATCAATTAATGCACACAACAACACAAATTAAGATATTCGTATGAAATTAAAAGTTCAAAAATCTAAATCGTTTTCACCTTCTTCAGCTACATCTGGTTCGCACAATCTGTCTATAATATCTTTACTGGTAGGTAGAGTTTCATACCAAGAATGAAGTTCTTGAGGTATAATCCCTTTGGTGCAAAGATTCAACAGATCCTTTTTCTTAGCTTCTGATATTGGGATTGGGCTAGAATAGGCCTTAGGAATTACATATTCTTTTAATTTGTCAATCATTTCTTTTCTGCCTTCACGATCATTTTCCTCAATTGCTTGACCATCTAGAGATCTTTTTGTCCTTCTTGTAGCACGAGGAGCTACTTTATCTAGTGTTTGAAATACATCAAATTCGGAATAAGGGCCATCATGTGTGTAACGGAATTTGACCAGACCAGGATGTCCTTTTTCGAATCTAAGGCACTTAATTTTTAACCACATTATTTTATTACCCTCTTTGTCCTTACTTGTATTTTTAACGAAGTGTTCGCTTAGGGCTTTGATGTCTATCATATCGTTATAGGTCATTTCTTTAACGATATATGGCGGTGATGATTTTTTGTGTCTTGTTGATCGAGCACGAACCATAATAGATTTCCAATCTATCATGGAGAAGACTGGCGTATGCCTTTGGCACTTTTCTATAGCACTGTACATCGAATCTACCTCCATGTGCGTATGGCCACTCTCTAAATATTTTTGCTCAAGTATTTCAACGTGCACATCAGTCCTCGCGATCAGATGGCACAGAAAAGCTGTTATAAATTTGTTTCTATTCTGGCCTGCGCACGTATCACTATAAATAGTTACTTCTTTTACACATGTAGGTATTTGATGTATCCACCAGTTCATCGCACTCGCGATTTCAATACTGCCCCTTTTGCCATTTATTTCATTCCACGTTATGCAAAATGCTTCATTCGGAGGTTTTGCTGTGTGAATAGTATAATTTTGCACATTCAGCTTCCTCGTATAATATAATATGCCTACGCCGCTGACAGGTATATGAAGGGTTGATTGCATATCTGCAGTTACTACGAGATACGTGTCATCTTTCATAGACCGCTGTTTATCAAATTCTTTTGCATCTTGTGCTGCATTTTTTCTGGCAATATGTGCATCATATTCTTCTTTTAGAGACTCAGGTCGACCACTACTATCATAGCGAGTACATATTATACACAAATCCTTTTTGGGCTTAAAAAATGACAAATTAAATTGTGATCCAAATATTCTTTTATACACATAGAAAGAACACGGTTCTTCACCAGCAGTTACTAGTTCTTCTTTATATAATTCATACATTTTTGAAATACTTAATTTGCTGTCCAGATATTGTCGTTTAGATTTTTTTCTACAGTAATGAGATTCAAGTCGAGGAAAAGAGTTAATATGATCGATGATTTTTTGTTCAGATGCGGCATCAGTCTTATTAATAGGAGCACGAGAACCACGTCTATCTTGTCCCTCGTAGTTACCAAATTCGTTTTTGTATTTAATGGCTTCATTTACGGGACCTTTTGATATACATAACGTTTTCAAAAAAAAGTCTTTGCAGACTCGATGCTGCTGATCATCTTTAGTGAAATAATATTCATAAGTGGCGGATCGATGTTTTTCATTTGGAATACCAGTTTTCATAGTTTTTATTGGTTTGGCAACAATCTGGTGCAACAAGAACTGTTTCTGAGATACGTTATCATTAATCTTCCAGTAGTCTTTGCACAATTTAACTCTGTCATCCTCAGAAAAATGATTCATGCATTGATATCGGCATTTTACAATACAATTTACATGCTTAGGCTTCTTTGCTTGCATAATATTACCCTTTTTTCCATGATATGGCAAACACTTATGTCTATTAATTTTTGCTATATTTTTCTTCCATTTGCTAGGATCACTTTTTTTCCAGCGTTGTAATTGCTTTTCATTACTAATGCTGGCTGTTGAAGAACTTTGCTGATCATTAGTTTCTACAGATTCATGGTTCATTTTCACAGTGATAAGTGATGTTTCAGTATTTTGCTGCTGATTGGATTCCGTTTCCAAATCCTCTAAAGAATTATTTGAAATATAACCGTAGCTATCCTTAGAACATCCTGGTTTTGCTTCTATTTGCTGTGTTTTGTTGTATTTTTTTCGTTTAGAATAATCACAAAAATCACTGCTATCAGTTGAGGATGATCTGATAATCACCTGTTTTTTCTTTTTTGAATTTTCTTCACTATCTGGATACCAAGAGTCGCCAGAATCAGATAAATCAGGCTCGGAGGAACTGTCCAAAGGCTTAATTCCGCTTATATCAGAAAACGGACTCTTGGGTGGGTTTTGCAGTTGTTGCTCAGATGGAGCATATTTTTCTGATAAAAAATCTTCTAAGGATACTACATCATTGCCTGTATCAGTTAATAATGGGGCGGAGTTTGGTGGTTTGATTGATGGTAACTTGGGATATATTTGCTCTGATGGTGGAGCTGACTCATATAAATCTTTATTTAAAAACAGGTCATCTACTTCTAAAGTCTTCGATGCGTCATCATCAAGTTCCGGTAGAGTTATCTGTAATAAATAAATTTACACAATCATGCAAGAAAATGAAACATGGAAATTAATTCAATACATCATGCTGTCAGTAATTGTCATTATGATCTTAATCTGTGAAGCAGAAAACAACAGCCAGCCCTAAGTCATGTTCTGTTATTTGATGGGATTAGCGCATACTTTGCTTAACTCTTTCAGTCCTGGTAGCTACACTAACCACCTATTTTCGTTTTTTTTTTCTTACTTTTGGGACTATCAAGCGTTTTTTATTGAAAATATTAAATCGGAAATAGGTGGTTAGTATAGCTAACCACCATGACTGAAAGAGTGGGAAATGGTAAGGTAATAAGTAGGGTTAAGATTAATAAGCCAAGTAAAACACAAACACTGCCCCACGATTCTCTCCTGTATCGTGCGTGCGTGTACAAACATTGAAATTCACACACACTAACACCGACACACAGAACAAATTTGTTCCGTGCGGGAATCGAACCCGCGACACACAGCGCAGTAGTCAGCCACTGGGCCAAACGTGTCATAAAAATGTAGGTATTTTATAGGCACTTAATGTCAGTCATTAAGTTTGAAATGCAAATACGAATGCTAATTCACACATTATGCCTAGAACAGTTAGTGTAATTTACTAATTTAGTAAAAGTAATCACATCATCACACACCAAAACCATGCTAGTACAACAATAGCTAAGTATGCATACACATCCACCATTATTAGCTACCCTTGAAGTAATTTTTAAGCCACATACCTATAAAACTAAATTCACAAAGAAATCAAGCAATCGCGTGCCATATCCGAAATAAAAATACCTAATAATAATTATAGTTACGTTTTTTTAATCCTTTTCTGCTTGAAGTAGTCATGTCCTACAAAATTCATAAAACATTTAATAATTATAATATGGGTGCCCAATAACATTCGCAAATTCTGAGAAAACTTAAATCGAATTAATGTGGTAATAATATTAATACCTATAAAGTGTGTTTATCTCACAAAATCAGATTTAGATAGGTACCTATTTTTATTATTTTGATAAGATTTTTGATAGGTATACCTACTTGTCTAATTTAAAAATCAAAATACTTAAAATAATTACACCATCAGCATAATAATTATTTGCGAATGTTACTATTCACTTCATTCTAATACCTATTTTGTTTTAAAAATAATAAATACTTACTTGCATAGATTTTTCTTCTTTTTCTTGTAATAAACCCAAAATAAACTTAGCTCGATTCATTGTATTTTTGCACGTACAATCAATACTGTTTAATTCTCGACAAAGCTCGATGCACTAGACTGTGCTATTATTATAACGTGAGCTCCTTGTTCAACGCACGCGTGGCGACTGGTGGGGCGCGTCGCGACACTCGCGAGAAAGATAACTAACTCCCTACTCGGAACCAACGAAGGCGGCAAACTCACTAAATCCCGCGCGAAATATACTTAAGTAAACAGACGCACGTAAAAGTTGTTTAAAAACCATTAAAACCTTTTAGTTATATTACGAAAATCATGATTTTGTCGTCTTCAAGGTATAGAAAAACTCATTATAATGATTTAATTAATTTTTCCTATGTAGAATAATGTTAAAACTTTATTGATTCATCGATCGAGAAATCATTAAGTACACTTAGTTAGTTTTCGCCCTCATATTTTTTACCAACCGTTTATTCTAAAATTAACTAAATTGATTTGGTGAATTTGGAAACAAATAAGACTGAAAACATACATTTTCTATTTAAAGGAGAAAATAACTAAGTTTACTTAGATATTGTGTATTTCTGATTTTAGGCAGTCATAAAATAATTAAGTAACTTAGGTATTTGTTCCCCAAAGTTTAAGGTTCAATATGTCAACATGATGTGTATTCGCACAAGCAAAAACGAAAACTATTAGACATATTTAAATCTTAGTTAGATAGAAACAAAGATAAAAATACGGTGAATATCTTGGCATTGAAAACCATTTTTACGATTTTTGGGACTTAGTGACTTTTCGTTCTACGGGGACGATATATTCTGCATATTTCCTCCATGGTAAAAACACAAAAACATTAATAATTGTGATACCTACATATTTAATCGTAATCGTAATAAAGGTTGTAGGTATATGTATAGTATAGATACAAACAGTTAAAAATACCTACACCTGATACTCAATAATGTTCAAACAATAAATGGTCCAAGTTTCACAATAAGTATACCTACGTATTTGTCGTAAGACTAAAGTCCTTCTATATCAAAAGACCACGTAAACCAAATGATTTCACAATGCAACAAGTTACAAACTATGTCATCATTTATGTTCCTATACAGGCATATAAATTATTTATTTTTATCATGACGTGCTCGCCTATGAATCACAATGTTGTGTATCTACATCTAAAAATAGAATTGACGTTTTGGCGCCTACCCGAGCCAGACCAGACGCAATTTTAATTGATAGGTACGGTGTCTGTCTGTCTGTCAGACTGATCTTAACTTTGATTTAGCTAATTCAACTCAGACGTTTGGACATAGGTATCTAAGTACTTACCTGACGACGAAGTGGGTGTAAGTACCTACCTACCAACATAGGTAGTTACAATGATGTATAAAACTATAGATACGTTTTCCGCGCTCTAAAATGACAACATGAAATGAAGGCAATTGACCACATCGCGCTTAGTTACGCACCAACCTGCCGCGCGACGCTACGTTTGTTTTTAATTTATATCGTGTGTAAACCTGTGCGAAACATAAAGAAAGCATGTCGTCGTGTGTGTTCAGCCGATGTACAAATTATACTCCAAAAGTTAAAGACAAAAATGTGTCATTTCATGCGTAAGTTCACCAAACAACCTATTTTTATTTTATTTTTTTCGACGCCGGCGCCCGCCATCTTATGGCGGCCGGCGCATGAAGGTATAGTCACGTGCCGTCGGCATAACTGAAGATGTATATTTATCTCCCTCTAGCAAAGGCATTCCACTATACGATGTCATATTTTCTTTCCCTTTCTTTACTCGTAGAAGTAGTTATCTAGTATTTTCGCCGTTTTTAAGCGCCGCGATGTTGGTTCATGACGTGTCTATATATAATACGTCATTGGGTAGTTATTACGATGCAACTGTGGCGACAGTGAAAGAATAAGCAGTTTAAAAAATGTTTTCTTGATAATTCAATTTTTACAAGATAATCAATGCCACATTCATTCATTTTTGTTATGTATTAGGTCTTATTCGGGGAATGCATCTTAAAATCTATACTTAATTAAAATGGTCGATCAAGTCAGAAAGAAAATAGGAATCAATGAAACATTGAAATAAAAATACAAATTTATTTGGAAGCAACACTGAAAATAGTAGGTATAAGAGTACAAATCACAAACAAAACCTTTTACTAGACTACCCATAACAACCCGACCAATATATTAATAGCTTAACATTCTAATGCTAACATTTTACCATAAACACAGAGACAAAAAGAAAATAAAACAATATTTTTGTATTTCTTAGCACTGACCTTCACCCATAAACGGCATAAAATAGGGTATGTCAAAAGGTCATTGAACGTGTCCGCCATTACAAATTACTTTTGTTTTACCTCTACCTACTTTTTTTTTTCTCTTAATACTCTGTGATAAAATTTAAAGGTTTAACCTCCCACAAACAAATAAGCATAAAACAATATCAATTTTGGGACAATTCCGTAGCAAGAAACATTTAAGTAAAAAGCCGCGAAATTATTTAATTTTTTAAACAAATTCCTAGTAATGTAAGGAAGTAAACCTTGAAGTTCTCAAATGATGTTATATGCTTCACAAATTATGTTCAAAATACGCAATGTTAGATGACTCATCAGTTTTTAGTAAAACCGGTATTATGTACTTTGAACTTCGATTTCAATATTCAAGGCAACCAAAGACAATCTAATAAATTACACAACAAACATTTACAAAAGAGGTATGTTTAGGGTAGATTGAAAATAAAATACAAAAATTGTATGATTTCAATAGACATTGCAACCTGGTTTATGATAGAATGATTTATGCATTGCTTGTCTTTTTTAATAAAAATAAAACAAATAAATTAACAATTCAGACTTTTTGCTATACAAATCAACTTACAAAGTACTTATATCATTTCCATGTTATACAAAAATACCTGAGAAGTAACATGTGCACGAAGTGCTATAGAAAGCATTAAAAAATATTCATTCCACTATCACACAATAAGAATTATATCAATATTATTTATCAACCATCTGTTTTGCATGCTGTGTTATTCTAGTAATTTATAGACGGTGATATTATATTTGTAAGGCAGCTATTATTTTATGGTTTAAATGTTTTGGTGTTACAAAAATAAATGCAAAACAATGCCATTAGTATCTTATTAGTTTAACAATAAATATGTGGACATTAAGTTTATAATCAGATTATTTATAAGATTAATAAATGTGTAAATAACATTCTCAGATGACAAATTTTATAGATCTTACAACAAAAAATAAGGCAGCCTATTCATAGATCTAGAAATAACTGGAATCACAGTTACATCATTACTTATTTTAAATAGAATGATGCCAAATATGTTCCCAAGTTGTTCGTTTAGCGTTAAACAGTGATGTGAAGACTTGAAAAGTAGAATTGGACTTTAAACATCACTTATATCAGACCACAAGTTTTACAACTGACTAATCTATTCATCCTTCTTGGAGTCACCTCCACTGGCCACTGTCAACTTCTTCTGCAATTTGCTGTGCTCCTCAGCAAGTCTGTCATACTCTTTGTTGAGGCTTTCAGCCTGAGATTTCACAGCTTCCTTGTCTTTCTTCTCTTTGTTTAATTCCTTCTCAAGCAGTGAGATTTGGCTCTTCAGTTCGTCAAGCTCTTTCTTGTTTTTCTCGTCACCAGCGCCAGCCTGCTCCAGAAGCGTCTTGGCAGTAACTGAAGCGCTCTGCGCTTGACGGAAGTTAGCCTCGGACTGTGCCAAAAGGGTCGCTAACTCCGAAATCAATTGCACCAACCGGCGAATGACTACCAGCAAAAATAGCGCAAAACCAGAGATGTAGAAGTTTCTTTGAGCACGGAACAACCTCATGTTACCTTGCATCTCCGCATCCAAATGCTGGTGGTCTGAAGACTCGATGTTTGAGTATTTCTGCATCTCGCGGATGGCATCGAGAAGGCATAGTACTAGCACACCAATAAGAATTAAGAAGTAAATAGACGCTTGGCCACTTATGTAAGCGAGGAATTTTGACTTGAAAAATCTCTGCCATTTTGATGGACTTGCGACCGGCAATGTCAAGAGGAGCACGATTGCAATTTCGGCGTACAAGAACGTAGCGATGATCGTCCACTGCAAACTCATTGTGGCACTTGGTAAATTCTACTTTTACAACTAAGATTCAACAGCTATAATACTAGCAGCAGCACAACACAGTGAAGAATCAACTACAACAAAACTCAATGCGGTTTAAATATTAAATTATCGGTGACTAATGAAAATGACTTTTAATGACGTATTGTTGAAACAAATAATGAATGACGTGTCTTCTCTCTAAACTTTTAAAGCAGCCCACTAACCTATCCAATACATAAATAAAATAGGACATTCATCGAAAATGTATACAGATTTTAGAAAATGTATCTTATAATCGTTTTGTAAACAAATATCTTGATTACATAAAATCAATAATGCTCTTTCAATATAATAAACAAAAATAAAAATTATTTGAAATGCAAACATAGGAATGGCAAGCTTTATATTTTTTAATTTGATTCATTTCTGAACGATAATACGTTTCTCTACGCATCGAAACAAATCATGAGTTTTCGAAAAATTAAACATTTGAAAATTTTAACAGAATTATTTTTGTAACAGATTTAGGATCCAAAACATTTTTATTATAATTATAAATAGTTTGAGATATTATCAAGTAAAGATTCAAAATAAAATGTACTTTATTTTTAATTTTGTGCTAGATACTTGTAACTGAACGCCCCTGTCAAAAATGACTGCTAAATAATCCAGTTGTCGAATGACGTCATTTCATGTAAAAAAATTGTAAATTCTAATAAGTTATCTTATTGATTATAAACTAAATATAATAATTAAATATTGTAGCCATGGCTGATCCTAAATATGAAAATCTTCCGGGCATAGTAAGTACAAAATGACAGTTTCAAAGATTGTATTTTATTGATTTTGCTTTGTGTGTTCAATATTTTATTTTTCTTAGGCTTACGACC